ATGAGATCCTGCTTTGCAGTAGGTATTAATCTTCTGATGAACTGAATTTTGTAGAGGGTGGAAGGATTTTGTGTAGAGTACAAACTTGAATAGAACGAGTTTCAGAAATGTCTAGCAATTTAAAATGCTGCTTGGTTTTAATTAAGATGTACAGAAACTCCACACACTATCTTGAAATCGTTATGCTTTTTAGCCATCCATAATGCCAGCAATGCAGAAGTGCTTCTTAGAGCTTCTAAAGCACGAGAAAGTAGGATAACTGGGCAGATGAAGCACCAATGCTTATGAACCATAAGAGGAGTGAGACTGCAGTTTAAGAACTTGCATTCTCTGGCTGTGGTTGTAATTGACTTACAGAAGTGTCTTTGGCTTGTAAGCTGTACGCATTGGGCTGTACATATTTGGGCACTTAGATTGTCCCAGTTGAGCAGTGAGATTCATTGTCATAGAATCCCCTCACTGAGGCTCAAGCTCATGCATCTTTCCTTATGTTGTGCTATGGGGTGGGAGTAAGCACATAGTCATCTTAGGAGTCTTAGCTGATGGGCAGTGACTTGTGAACTCTGATAACTCAGTTTTGTTTGTATGTCTGTTTTTGAGGCATTTTGTTTGGAATGTGTACCACTCACTTAAGAGTGATGCTATTTAACTGAGAAACTGTGATTGCGAGATAAATTTATCATAGGGAAGAAGACAGAAGGTACTAAAAAAACTCACTGCATGCATGAATAAGGACTGAGAAGTTCCAGAATTTTGTGGTTTTCTTTTTCAAAGTATGTGCATCCACCTTGAAATGGCACTAACTCAGGTTGTTGAGAGGCAGCTGTCATTTTGAGTATCTTGCTATGTAAGTAGACTCTAGCATGTTAGTTGTTAACTGTCTCAAGAACTTTCTTATGGTATAGATACATGTCTTCTGATCTCACTGGTGATAGAAGTAGATGCTTCTGCCTCTTTCTTTTGTCTTCACTAGAGTTTAATGCTGTGTCCATTTTCTGTGGACTTCATGGGTTCTCATATGTTTTGGCCAAAATAAGCCTTTTTAGCAGAGACCAGCTGCTTTGCATTTCAAGTTCACCTGCTGTTTTTTGGGAATGAAAAGCAGGAGGACTGGTTAGGCCAACTTACAAGGAATCATGCATTTACCCACTCATTTCTGTCGTGTGCTGCTTCGAGCTGTCTTTGAGAGATACTTGGGGCTTTTTGGCTTTATTTGGGAGATTTGGTGTACCTGGTTAAGTTCATTCAAGGTAATTACTGTTCACATTGCAGTAATTCCTTTTGTGCTTTTGTCTGAATACCATGGTGTTTGGTGTATAATGTTAAAGGTCTAGCATATTCCATTTTGGAGGGTTTTATCTTTCAGACGAAGGACGAAGAAAACTGGTACTGAGGAAGATACCAGGTCTCGTTCAAGTGCAGGGTTTATGTCTGTTTTTATAGTGTGATATTCCAACTTAGGAGTCTTGGGGCCAAAGAATACCCAGACATTTTATGATAACCTAAGAAATTGTTCCCCAAACACTGGTGAAATGGTTGTTCTGTGTTGGTAAAGTTCATGGTATTAGATAAGCATGAAATTTCCTGGCTCTCAGTATTTGTACTTCAAAGGATTGTATAGCTGTCTGAGATAAACGTGGAATTTCCTGGCTCTCAGTGGTAGTACTTCAAAAGACTGTATAGCTATCTGTTTGCCATATCTGCAATGCCATGGGCATCCACTGAGAAAGCCAGCAAATGGTCCAACTTGTTATTTGTCGAGGTTCTTTTGTATGATCTGATGATCTTCTGTATGATCTTCTCTGTGTTTGTAAGGTCAGCTCATTGTACACAGTTAACTGTGTAACTCGCTACTACTGTTCTGGGACCAGGTTGGTACTATTACTGAAAAAGGAGCAGTTCATCTCCATTACAGGCTGGATGGATGGGCTGGGGCCAGTGTTAAGAGGTTCAACAAGGAAAAGTGCTGGGTCCTGCATTTGGGCTGCAGCAACCCCCTGCAAAGCTCCATGCCTGGGGAAGAGTGGCTGGAAATCTGCTCATGGAAAAGGACCTGGGGGTGCTGATTGACAGAGCTGAACATGAGCCAGCTTGTGCCCAGGCAGCCAAGAAGGCCAGTGGCATCCTGGTCTGTATCAGCAATGGTGTGACTGCAGGGCCAGGGCAGTGATCATCCCCCTGTACTGGTGAGGCTGCACCTCAAATCCTGTGTTCAGTTCTGGCCCTTCCCTACAAGAGATAAGTGACAGGACAAGAGGAAATGGCCTCAAGCTGTGTCAAGGGGAGGTTTAGACTGGATATTAGGAAAAATTTCTTCACAGAGAGGGTGCTACTCAGGGCAGTGGTGGAGTTGTCCCTGGAAATGTTTACAAATCGTGTAGATGAGGCCCTTGGTGACATGGTTGTTGGTGGCTTTGGCAGTGCTGGGGTAATGGCTGGACTTGATCGTAAAGGTCTTTTGCAACCAAGTTGATTCTATGATTAAAAAGAAATTTGGTTACCCCTTAACCAATCTTTTAGTAATATCTCTGTTACATTCCCTTCTCTGTCTTTGCATTCATAAGTTGGTTCTTCAGAAAAGAAATTAATTGTAAGAATTAAGATCTTTTGTGTTACTGCTTTCTGCACGTCAGGGTGAATAAATGAAAGAATGACCATTAACCTGATTGTTAAGTACTGGCTCTTGAATGGAATGCTGAATGCAGGCTTATTCCAAAATGGCAGAATCTCTCTCTCCTTTTTACTGTAATGAAGCTGCTTCTTGTTTGCAGCACTGTGTTGCTGGGAGACTGCAGCTAATTTTTATGGTGTATGTCAGTAGTAGCGATTCAAATTATACATTTAATTGAGTAGCTCTTGTCTTTGTTTGTAAACTGTCTTCTGTAAAGGGAGAGAATGTTTTGTTTTGTTCTGGAAAGAACAGAATTCACACCAGAGAAAATGATGGAATCTGGAACAAAAGCTCAAATTGTGCTGTTGATAACATCATTGTACTTCCAGAGTCACTCTAGGGGGGGTTGTGGCCTGACAGAATTTACACCGGTCTGGTAGTCAAGTCTAATGCAGGTATGCAGGAGAATTCCAGGTGAGTGAATTCCACGTATCCTCAAAATGCTGTTTTTCTTTTTCAGGCTCTGTGCACTAAAACTTCAGCATGTGATGTGACTTTAAAGTGAAACAACAAAATAGACTCTGAGAGATTATAAATTGGAAAACTCTGTAGTTTTTGTTCACAACACAGATGCAGTGGCAGTTCTGGGTTTCTATAGAAAATTTAGTCCTCCTTACAATGATTGCTACACAGCTTGCATGTGGATCAGGACATGCATGCAATTACAGTGGCAAAAAAGTGGGAGTAACTGGGTGTGCATCTAAATGAGAAAATACATGCATAAGCTAGAATCTGGCTAATAAGTTAAAAACCATTTCTTTCTGAATCTACCCTTTTCTGGAGAAAGGAGGTGGTTGTCCATTTCTTGATGTTCACATTCTGTTTAGGTTTTTAGCAATGTTGCTTTCTATCTTGCTTGAGATGCCTCTATGTAATGGGGTGTGTGTGTCTGAATCCAGCTTGCTTAAACACGCAAGTCATGTCAGCTGCAATGCGGCAGTGCTTGGTGCTAATGAGGTGAGCAGCCAGAGCACCCGGCTGCTTGTGTTTGCTCCTATCTGTGCAGTTATGGCAATGGGATTGGAAAAAGGAATTTGTATTGGATGTGGCTCTGGTTTGGGCCTTCCAGAGTGTGGTTCCGTGTCTTGAGTACTGGACAGCATATTTCTACTTCCATTTTGGGAATTAGGTGGTTGCTTCATTATATTTAAGGCAGGCTCTAAAGTATGTCCTGACTGGGGAGAAGGAAATGGGAAGTACAGAGCGGGGGACACCCTCCCTTCTTTGTGCCCCCTCATTAATTCTAATGCACCTTGAAATGAAATGTATTGCCTGCCAATATGTGCCTTCAGGTTAAATAGATTTAAGTCTGTATTAGAAAAGTGACATCTTTGGAATATAGAGCTAATCGGGTAATTAATTTTGGCTAGATCTGAATAGTTACAGCTTTCATAGGCACAGAAAGGCAGATGCACTGTGATTTCTCAGCTCACCTGTCTTTAACCCTTAAGGTGCTGAAGTGTGACCTGTCTTATTTTATACAGAAATCAGAAAGTTTTACTTTGAATGTAAGGTAGATAAAGTAAATATCAAATCCTATTTGTCTTTTCCCACCCTCAGGTGCTAGGCTCTCTTCATTGAGCTTGATGCCTTCCATCCAATCCTATCGTTTCTCATTCCTGCAGCCTGTCTTTCAGTGTTCCTTTCTCAGAGACATGGTCTGTAAAGCTATAGGTCATGATTAAGTAATGCATTGGTCTTGGTGGCAAAGCTTGCTTTCCTTCTAGTTCCTGCCTTGATGTCACAGGGTGTTATGCTGTTAGCTGATAAAGTTATTTCTAAGTGATTATTTAGTATAAATCAGCTTGTTAAAATTATCAATGTTAAAAATACTGCTTTGCTTTTTTTTTTCCTAAGGGTCATAGCTAACCTCTGTTACTTTGGCAGTGTGTTGTGTAATGTGATGCCACAAACAGAGGGATAAATAAAGATGGGACTGGGAAAAGTATGAAATGATCGAGGCAAAAACCAGTAGTGGGAGGCAAGAGCCTTCTGAGTTATTGATACCGATGATATGAATTTAATGTGTAGCTAACATTTATAGAAAGGATGGTGTGGCAACCAATAAAAAAAGTCTTTCACCCTGGGAAGGAGCACAAGACTGTGTGCCCTGATACAGTCTGTTCTTTGCCTAGTCCTAGGTTAAGAATGGCATTTGTGAAATAGCACAACTGACAAGATGCGTTTTAGGGATAGTTGTGCTGTTTTAATGCTCACTGTTGATGTCTGGTATCTCTTGTGATCACATACAGTGCAGTATTTCTTTGCCTGTTTACCTTCTTCTGAAGACCTTGTAGTTCATTGGGATGTTTTTGTCCTCCTTCTCTAGGTCTCCGAGTGAATGGCGAGCTCATTACTGCTTACCCACAGGTGGTGGTTGTGCGTGTACCAACACCTTGGGTCCAGAGTGACAGTGATATCACAGTCCTTCGCCACCTAGAGAAGATGGGCTGTCGATTGATGAATCGTCCCCAGGCCATCCTCAACTGTGTCAACAAGTTCTGGACATTTCAAGAACTTGCTGGTCATGGTGTGCCTCTTCCAGACACTTTTTCATATGGTAAGGCTTTTTTACCGAATGGGTAACATAGTTGCCTACCGTAATTTATGCTTTTGCAGTGCAGAAGGTATGAGTCAAGTTTTGGAAATCCATAGAATTAAGTTGCATGAGGCTAGTTCCACAAACAAGTATTCCATAACCAGAAGAGCAAATTAAAGTTGTAACACTTAAGTTCTGGTTTTGGCTTTGTTGATTAGATGTGATGCTTTGGGAAGGGTACTTTAACTTTACCTCAGCCTCCCAAGCAACTAACTTTGGTGTTACTACTAAACCACTTTGCACTGTTTTCCATTTGTCTGAAATAACAGATAAGAATTTGGGGAGCTACATGTCATAGGATACTGTAAGGATCTAGACTTCAGTAAAATCTGAAAGGGGATTAAATTTCTGTATGAATAAAAGTATCTGCAAATATATTGGTTATTGTGAAAGGACAAAAAGAGTACAGGCCCTCATGTTCATGTTGCAACAATTGTTTGGGACTTGCTTGCCACCAGAACAGTTAATTATTTGTTTCTTGTGCCTGCTTCTGGAGTGTATGGTTTCTGACAGAGTGCTGTATTAGAGGAACCATGAGTCTGAGCTACCCTTATGCTATTTCTGATTTTATTTACAGTATGTTAAAGAACTAAAGATACCTCTCAGCCTTCATTTTCTTCTGTCTGGTTGCACCAGTAGACTTTTGTAATAGGAATTTGACAAAAAAAAAGAAACTTGACAAAACCAAAACCATGGGTTTCTATCAGTTAGTCTGAATTACAATTTCCATCAATTACTGTGAAAACAAATCTGAGAAGAAGCATACCCTTTCTTTATGGATATAGTTGCTCTGGCTCTTTGAGAAAGGAGTAAGTGTTCAGTGTTTTTTTTGGGAGACCATGAACAGTGGAGTAGTTGCAGAACATCTCTGTTCATAACTTCCTACCACTTCTTTTAATGCCTACCTCTGGAATTTGACAGGAGAGCAACTACTTTTTTTAAACGCAGGTATTAAATTCGCAGGGAGAGCTGGCTTTGCCAAGAAAAACAGGATGTGCTGAATGACATGTTACTCCATGACATGCATTAAAAACCATGGCACAGGGTAGTCATGGCTGCTGCTGGCTTTGTAACCAGTGTCTTGGCTTGGCATCTGCTCTTTACTTACTACACATTCTGTTAGAGGACTCGCATCCCTTTGTCTGCTGACTTTCTCTTTTGTATTTCTTGTACTGTGCTCAGCCCTTTGTGAATTGAACTGAACTCAAATAACCTTCAGGTACCAACCATAATCATGAGAATGGTCATTAAAAGGTCCTTATAAATGCAGTGAGCTAAAAAGGTGGAAGTACTACTTACAGGAAGTAGGGAGAACAAGATGCAAGAGTCTTAAGCCTTGGAAAGGGAGATGGAGAAGTGACAAGATTTAGGTTGTTGCTGTTTTCTGGATTATGCTTTGAGTTCATATTCCTTGTTGCTTCCTGGTTAGTAGTTTGGATGGAGCTGTTATTGTTGTTATGTCTGTGCTATTTTCCTGCTAGATACTTGAAAAGGTGGGAGTTGATAAAGTAAAAGGGTTAAACTGGATCAGGATGGTAGAATTGGGACATTCGGATTTCAAAAGTTGGATTGAGCCTTTTGGGGTTGTGATCAGGAGGCCTTTGTCAACTTGTCTTTCATTTCAGAGGACATAGGAGTTCATATCCTGTGGATCACAAACACCTTCAAAGTCTGATCATACTTTATGACTGAGTTTCTCTTAACCAATAGGTTTCTTCTGCATTCTCTAAGCTGTAAGGGTGGGAGGAATGTGTGGCAATTATATCCCTGATTTGACCCCACTAGAGTGGTGGCACATAATGTTGTTGGTTTTCTTTTTGCCAGGTGGTCATGAGAATTTTGCCAAAATGATTGATGAGGCGGAAGTGCTGGAGTTCCCTATGGTGGTGAAGAACACGCGGGGTCACCGAGGTGGGTGTGAGGCCAGGGCTGAGGGGAAAAGAGTGTTCTGAGCAGGCCTCTTAAGATTTTGTCTTGTCAAATGAAGATAGTTAAGTCTTCTATTGGATGTTGGACTTCTTTGTGGTACATTTAACTTCTGCCACACTTTGGCCTCTGAATGCTGAGTAGGCTGCAACACTGGGAAGCAGTTTTAGTAGAACTGAGTCTTGCAATAGGTGGGGGGGATAGGATTTCAAAATATGGTGCATTGGTGACTTCTGTGAGGAAAGTTTTGAACTGGAATAATGGGAGGTCTGGCTTTAGGGAAATAAAAGCTTACATGGATTTTAGGAATGTTTCTAAATAGGCATAAGAAGTGAAATCTTGGTTCAGTCAGTCTTAATTTGACCTTTTTTTCTATGTTGCCTATAATTAGGATTCTGATATAAATAAAATCCCATGTATTGTTTGTTCCAAATGGATCTCTTTATTCAGAAAAATAGCTTGTCTAACAGTGCTGGTGATAATAACAGCGGGTTCAGATTAAGTTCTTCTGTTCTTAGTCTTTTATTGTAAGTATTGAATATGAAACAATACATAAATTTTGTTTATTGTTAGTGATCTGCTAAAGGAAAATGAGTTTAAAATCAATTTCAGAGGTTATTTGCGCAGTAGGTTGCACTGTTTTTAATTTCCTTTAAAACCAATTTAATAAATACTAAAAGTAAAAAGGCAGAAACCAAAGTTATAAGCACATAAATCATCAGTTACCATAAACAAAAGCGTAAGAAAAAAGGTAGCACTTCTTTCTTATTGTCTGTCAGTTTGTTCCCACTCCGTGCTTGCTCTGATGCATCTCTTCTGCTGGCATGAGTGCTTTTGTCATCATGTAGTAACTAGAATTCAGGAGCTGATGTTGGATGAATCTAGATGGGTTATATTTACAAGGATTAATTCCTTATGTGAATTGTCATTTACTCGGACAAATTCTTGTGCTGATGTAATGGAAGAGTGAGAGCAAAAGTCTGGGACAGAGGAAGATAGACCTGCTTCTATTGGCAGTAATACTTGATTATATAGTTTTAAAGGGCTTGTGGAGCCATGAAGCCAAGTTGGAGTTTGACTTTGCAGCAAGCTCAATTTTACAATTGTGGAGTATCTGAGACACTGGATTTGACTTGACACTGCCTCTCCTCTAAGATGTATTAAAAAATTATAGAGTTTGCAGCTATTGAATTTCTTCTGCCCTTTTTTTTTGGCCAGAATTCATGTAAAATCTCTGTTTACGAGTTTAGCTTTAGAGCAGTTTAAATTCCAGGCATCTTAATGTAAATTTATGCACATCACATATCCTTTCACATGAAGAGAGCTGGGGAAGCTTTTTAAGATTAATTGAAGAGGAGCCATTTGCAAATTGTATTAAAAAAAAAAAAAAAAGAAACCCAAACAAATGGGCAAACCTGGTCCTAGGTACTGGCTAGTGAATAAAAGCCACTCTATTCTAGATTAATTTTCTATATAGTTGGCTGCTGCAGCAAATGTACCAGTCTTGGTTCTGCCGAGGTGTCATGATGCTGCATAATTCCTAAGAAGTAAATAGTTCCCCTCCAAGGCATTATTCGTCCTATCCCATGTTAGGAATACAGTAGGATCGTTAAGTGCAGGAGAGCTAAGTTGGGAATGGGAGAAGCTCCTTGTAATGATTTTGAAGCCTACATTCTGATACAGTGTTTGGGTTAAGAAATTCCATGTTCATCAAGCGGTGTTCTGTGTTAGGCAGACCTTAAATCCGGACAAAGCAGTGGCTGCTGCAGTTGGGTTTTGGGGCGCTTGGTGGAATTCTTCTTTGCATGTTATTTCTCCTAGTTCTGCTATTGCTGCATTTCTGGTACCTTAGTTTAAGATAGGCAGTTACTCAATTGATTTTTGTACTCTGTTAACGTTGTAGCATAGCTGAGTTACAATTCTGCCACAAACAAAAGATGTGCAGCCTTTTGGAAAACATGTAACTATGACACAGGGAAGAGTCCTTAAAAAGGGGAAAGAGAAGCTGGGAAATGTAACTTAAGAGGGAAAGACATGCCATGTTGTGAGACTAGAGATGGGGAACTGTTAGAGCCCTGTTCCAGGGGTGACTTCCCATCAGTATTAATAAATTTGAGAAAGAACAAAGAAATCTTCAGTGTGCTCTAGAAATGAAGAGGAATGAAATTATGGTTTAGGTTAAAGAAACCCAGGTCCTTGAGATGCTTGCTTGCAGAAAAGGTGGTGAATTCTGAAGAGGTTTTTTGTTTTGTTTTGTTGCGGTTTTTGTTGTTTTGTTGGTTTTTTTTTTTTTTTGTTTTTGCTGTAATACATTCCATTAATTTTATGTCTTGTGTAATCTTCTGCTAAATTATTTTGGGTACTCTGCAGTCTTGTGTTTTCCTCTGAATGGAGTTGTTCCACTGCAAAGCTTCATTCTAACAAGCAGCAGCTTCTAACAAGCAGCTGGTTCTGCGCTGTCATGTTAGCAGCTTCAGAGTTCTTAGCTGCCTGGTGTTTAAGTTTCATGTCATTGGTTTCTGTGTGTTCAACCTGTAAGCTGCAGATATAGTCCTTTTGGATGAACAAAACTGTCTTATTAATTACATGTCTGCTGCTCTTTAAGTATTTCTTCCTTTTTTCTCTCATTAAGGACCTGTACCAAAAGGAGTAAGAAATTGGAAGACCACTTTTTGTGTCTAAAGTGCTTTCCTCTGCTTTTTCTCTCTTCTCCTCTCTTCTCCCCCTCCCATGCGGCTCCTCAGCTCTGTCAGTCCCTGAAATCTTAGAAGCAGTGAAGCAGTGGAACCGTGATGTCCACAGAAGAATTTGTAAATGTGTATAAGCTACAGATGGGGCATGTGAGAATGGGCAGTGTATTGGTCTTTGATGCAGCTCAAACCAGTAGCTTCTTCCAATCTTCTGATGTTCTGTTCTTGATCCAGGTAAAGCTGTATTCCTGGCGCGAGACAAGCACCATTTGGCAGACTTAAGCCACTTGATCCGTCACGATGCCCCTTACTTATTTCAAAAATACGTGAAAGAGTCCCATGGCAAGGATGTGCGTGTCATCGTAGTAGGAGGCCGTGTGGTGGGCACCATGCTTCGCTGCTCGACAGACGGGAGGATGCAGAGTAACTGCTCACTTGGTAGGAAAAGCATCGTTCATAGTTTTGATCAGAATTTTTCAATCCAGTTGAAGAATCACAAGTCCAGCTGAAATAAGCTGCACATTTTCTTTTGTATTAATCATGCTTGCTGTTGGGGGTTCACAGAGGAAACAATAGAGTTGAGGAATAAGTGAGACACGTGTTGAGCAAACACAGAAGGAGAGGCAGTTTCTGCCCAAAGTATTGGATAGAATGGATGAAAAGGAGGAGAAAGTTCTAGGGACACAAACAGAGCAACTGCTGTGGTAGTGGCAGTGCCATGCTAATGCCATGTTATCATTCATTTCATCCTTTGAAGAGGAACAGAAAAAGAAGGAAGACAGAAGTTGAGACTGAGGGAGGTGGAGGAGGCAGGCAGTTGGTAAGAGGGTAGAGGAGAGTGTTAAGGGAGGAAAGTGCTGAGCGCAGTAAACAGTTGGATTGCATTTTGCAGCTGCTATGCATCCTTAAGTCTGTCAGGCTCCCCTCTGCAACCTTTTTTAGTAAAGACCATGTCCTGGGAGGAAGAGGAGAGTTACTACATTGATCGTAGCATACACAGAACTGAGTTTCTGCATAGTGTTGGGTGTAGGGCAGGAGGTTTTCTGAGGGTAGAAGGGAGGAAGGAGGGTTGAGTTTGCCTGGCTGAAATTGTACTGAACCCGATCAGGGATGGGATGAAATGGGTTCATGTGCAGTGTAGTTTTGGTGAGAATGCCCAGAATGCCTGAGAGATTTAGTTAATACCTGTTGCTGAGGAAATAAAGCCTGAAATTTTTTTCTGCTAAGTGTTTTTTTTCTGGTTTGGTGTTTTTTTTTTTTCCCTTTGTTTTTGTTTTCTAAATGTGTTACGATAGATGAAGTCTGAGTTGGTTAATGCTTAGATGATGGATTATGGAGTGGGCCAGTTGAGCTTCAGATACAAATGTTCCCCAATTCTTGCTTTAGAGACTCAAACGTATGATAGCAAGCTAAGAGGCACACGAGCAGATGGTAATGTCTTTACCCTGTCCCCTCAGTTATATCTGTTAGAGCTGTAGTCTTATCAGGAACAGTTGTTTAATTTTCCTGAAAGATGTCTTGTGATAATTTAAAAATACGTATGTAGAAGGAACAAAGGTGGTTTGTTAGGTCATCTTTTTAATATCCCAGGATTATAAAAAGGTATGCTATCTTTCTTGACTAAAAAGTCTGCACTTAACTCTTTAACAAGTTGTCATTTGACCTGCCCTTGTCTTTTGAAATCGCGCAGTGTTTTCATGTTCATTAGTAGTCACTGTGCATAGGAGGTTGCTTTGCGACTCATAAGCAGTATGCTTACAGCCAAAAAGCACTATCCAGTTGAGAAGGATGTCAGTCACCTGTGACTAGACTACAGACAGCAAATGCTTTTCGCTTCTTGCAGGTGGCGTAGGGATGATGTGCTCACTGAGTGAACAAGGCAAGCAGTTGGCGGTCCAAGTGTCAAACATCCTGGGGATGGACGTATGTGGCATTGACCTGCTGATGAAGGACGACGGTTCATTCTACGTCTGCGAGGCCAATGCAAATGTAGGTTTCATTGCCTTTGACAAGGCTTGTAATCTAGATGTAGCTGGTATCATAGCGGACTATGCCGCTTCTCTCCTTACCCCCGGCCGCTTGACGCGGCGCATGTCCTTGCTCTCTGTGGTGTCCACGGCAAGCGAGACTAGCGAGCCAGAGCTGGGCCCTCCAGCTAGTGCCGCTGTCGACAATATGAGTGCTAGCTCCAGCTCTGTCGACAGTGACCCTGAGACCACGGAGAGAGAGTTGCTCACCAAGCTCCCGGGGGCTCTGTTCAACATGAACCAGCTATTAGCCAATGAGATCAAACTTCTTGTGGAGTGATGCCACATGTAAATAGATGACCAACAGAACTCTCTCTTGTACATTTTATTTTTAAACCAACTTGCAATGCTGTTTATCAGAGAAGCTCAGAGGAGTGAGGAAAGGAGAGGGGGGTGTCAATCAGGAGAGCAAGAGTAAAAGGCACTTGTGTTGTGCTTGCTGCCTCCGCTGTTTTGCAGAAAATAAATTGTGTTCATTCTTCAGTATCAGTTTTCTAATGAAGATGCTAAGTTCACAACATAAGTGGGAATTTTATTTGGGTGCTGCTTTGGTCCCAGACGTATTCACAGGCAAACATTAGAAACATGATTCACGCTTAAAAGATTTTCAGAAAGCTGTCTGGCAGCTCTCTAGAAACTTCTGTGAATTCTTGCACCACTCAAGTCTCTTCTGCCTTTGTAAGGCTTGATCCTGTAAGTGGCCAAGTGCCTCAGATTCTCTGTGTGAGTTGAAGGTGTCAAATACCAGGTATTTCAAAGTTCCTGGACACCCCCTGTTCCTACTCTAGTAGATGGGAGCTGTAAGTTCAGGATCCTTTGAAAGTTGTCACTTTGTGACCTTGCAGGATTTGGCCTTTCAGGTGATGAGGCTGAGAGAAGCATCAGCTGACTTTAATGTGAGCTTTCTGTAGAGATCTTTAATTTGTACCTTTCTTGGTATTAATTGGCAGCTTTGTGTCTGTATTTCTTCATAAAGTTTTCCAAGATGGATTTTAGGGTTTTTTGTCATTTCAAATCCTGCTTTTGGAGGGTATGTAGGGGAATTGGTCATACTCTAGTTGTGGCGGAAGTGGCACGTTTTAACTATGTTTGCATGATTGGAAGAGATAAACAGCACTGTAATGTTTGGTATACTACAAAATAATGTTTAATCCAATGTGAAAAAGAATTACACTAGTTTAAAGCAAACGTGCATCAACTTGTATTTGTTAGTGTTTTAGTCTTTTGGAGAGAGATCTGCAATGTTACTGTTCCGTTTTCTTTAATACATGCTAGTCCAACACTCCCTTCTCTATGCCTGCATCTTTAACAGTGGCCAAAGTAAAAACACTGCAGACTATTTGTTAAGGAAACACTGAGAGGGGGGAACATGGTAAGGTGTGGAGGAGGTAAAAGGTGGTTAAAAGTGATAGACGTCTTGAGGTACTTTAGAATAAAGCTGCAGTTCATACAGTACTTAACCAGGCTTACTTTTTCCCCACTGAACATAAAAGCTGATGTTGGCAGAAATCCAAAGAGTATAACTGGGGAGAAATACCCAATTCTTTAGCTTTGGGAAATGTGCAGCAGGTTTAAAAACTAAAAAGTGAATAATAATAATAAAAAAAAAAAAAAATTGCTCAGCCAGAATTAAAAAAAAAATAAAATATAACCTAGGTCCACAAATTGATCCTGGGCCCTTCCATGTGTGGTGTGAGTACACACACTTCTGTGTGTTTGTGTGTGTGCATTTGCTTTGCTTTTTCTTTTTTGGCTTCTCTTTTCTTTTGGGTTTTGGCTGTTTAGCTCCTAGTTTCTTTCCAGGCTGCCTGATTTTCTTTAGTCCTTCTGGCTGTGCATTTTCTCCTTAGCCTTGAGCTGTTTTGGAAAACAGATAACCAAAACAGATACTGAGTCCATTTTCAATCCCTATCTTCCTCCTTTTCCTCTTTTTCCTCCTCCCTTTTAATTCCCTTCTCATTCTCTGGGTTCATAAAGGCCTGGAACTATAGATATATATATATATAAAAATAAGCCTCTTTTTAAGAAAAACAAAAAACAAAAAGAAAGAAAAAAAACCAAGGTAAAATGTTTACAATTGAAGAATAATCTTGTGAAAATAGGGTTGGTTTGGAGGGGGGTTGTGTGTGTGCAATGCTGCTACTTTCTGGATACTTTAATGGAGCATGTCCCATGTACCCTCTGAGGCTCTGCACTGCCCACCTCTGTGGCCCTTCCTCACCTCTCTGCTGCTCTGCTGTTTTATCTTCACTTGGACCTTAAACACTATTCACGGACACTATGCAGAGAGTCTTCAAGAGGCAATAAACAGAACAGTATTAACCTGCTTTATGGAGGTTTGATCATGCTTCTTTGTACAGTTTGGTTTGTTATTTTTTAAATTTTATTTTAAAAGGAATGTAATAAAATGGCTTTTTTTTTTGTAGAATTAAATATTATTATTAAAATCAAGTGAAAGGTTGACTGTTGGTGTTAAGCAGGAGAGTGGACCAAGTGGTCCAGCACCAAAAGGAGCTTCAGCAGTAAAGGTATTATAAAATCTTCCCAAGCCTTCAAGCACACAAGTTATACCTGCAGAGTATAAAGGTCTCTTGACTTCCATAAAGAGTTGCAGAACCACAAAACATGAAAGAAATAGAATATTCTAGTCACTGAGCAGTAAAGTCTCTCTTCCAGAGGCTCTTCTATCTTTGCTTGTTTATCTAAGGAGAATTTGGGTGGTGGTGTGGTGTTGGGATTTTTTGGTTGGGGTTTTTTTTCCATTTGATTTGTGTCTTTTCGGTTTATGTGTAGTTGACTGCACTCGTCTCGAGGCCGATAGGGTCAGTCCTTTTCAGCTGTGGCGTGCATTGAGCATGTTGGTATAGTGGAACCTCTGTGTTTCTGTCACAGGAAACTTCTTTTGGAGGAAAGAGCTAGTAACTGAACATTCTGGACTGTTTTTTGACTCTACATAGTATTTTGTGGCTCACAGGATCTTTACATTTCTGTCAGCCTTTCAGAATGTCCAGGATACACCTCCCACCAGTAAAATTTGTGAAGTAAACACTAGGTTTTTTTGAAAGACAAAGATGGACTGAGAGATTTCCAGTTTGGCTCCCTTGGGATAAGGTGCTTCTCTGTTTGGTGATTCCATTGCGAATTTGGATATAAGTCCATATACAGTGGTCAGGGAGGGAGACAGGGTTTGAAACATATATATTTATTTGGACATTGGGTATTGATCAAAGCCTTGCTTGAGGGTTCATTGGTACAAAGGAACACACTCATCTCACGTGTTCACTCCCTACTTACCCGTTGCTCCTGTAACAGTGAAACGTATGGAGTGGGCTGAGGGTGAGAGTGGGGTGTCTTGTTTTTACTTAAAGGAAGAAAAAACCCACCAGCAAATCTAGCCTGTGGTAACTGCTCAGTGTTTCCCAGTGAAAGTGAAGTTTATGGATGTCAGTTTTATACCCTGTATTTCCTTCAGTTCCATATGCTGAAAAACACCTGCTAAGTTTTCATAAAGTTGCAGTAACACTGCCTCCATATGTGGGTTTAGAAAGCACGTGTTGGAAAAGTGGTCAACGTAGTGCTGGATTACAATAGCGCGAATGCAGCTGATGGTGATGCTACTGGTTGTGTGTGTTTTAATGTTGGAAAGAGCCAGTTAGAAACTTTGTTTGCAAGAATTAAGCTTCTTAAACTACATCTGATGAAATTTTGTTCTTTGTAACACTGGAGGTTTTCTTCTGTTGAAGTTACAATGTTTATAATTGGTGTCTTGCTCTGTCAATGTATGGATTGTATCTTAAGCCTTGTATTTAATGCTTTAATGTGTTCTGTAAAATCTCCTCTTGAAATGTCAACACCTTGTCCATAAGTGTCAATGCTTGATGCATATGTAGACTTGTTAATGTTTTTGTTTTGACTTGATGATTGCTCTTGGAGCATTTTCTCCCACTTGGTGTGCTATCTTTTGTGTGTGGTACTTACTCAGGAAATAACCTCTGGAACATCTGTGTATGCCAGACGCAAAGGAGATACTTCTTCAGATGTTATGCTGGACTTCAAAACGCAACAAATGAAACCAGTGACATTTGCTAAATCTTTTCTCCCCATTATTGCAAAAATCTGTCAGTTAAATATATAAGGGACCTTAAGGGCTTAGAGAGACTTTGAAAACAGATTGTATGTACAGGATCTTTCTCATGGCTCACTCTTTTTGAGAAGGTTTATGGGCTTTATGGCTGGTGTGAGACACACGACCCACTCCTGTTCTCTCTTATGGAATAGTAGGTGCTCGGACAGGTAACTTCTGTTGCTACTGTCTTTATTTTTTTTTTCCCTTTTTTTTTTTTTTTAACTGATCTAGGGATTGCTTTAAACTGAACAATTCAGGATTTATAACCAGATGTTTGCTGCCTTTTCCTTTGTTTTATTTCTTTAAGTCTTTCTTAACCTTTGAGAGTAACTTCTGGAACATTCTGATGGTGGATCTTGGCCTGCTGTTGGAAGCCTCCAGGCCTCTCATATATCCAGTTTGAGTTGAAAAGTTTTTGTTTTGTTTGTTTGCTTAAACTGATGGCACAAACTAGATGCACGGACTTTGGGTGAGATTTGCTGTTGCTCTGCTTTGTGTGACTTATTCTCCTTTTTTTTTTACAGAAAAGTGTTCTAACAGTTCACACTTTGTTACTGTTCTTTGCAAAACTTTTCAGGAGCCAAAAAAAGTCAAAATCCAGAGAAAACCTTCCCTTCTCCCCTTTCTGATGGCGAGAGTGAGAACTTATGAAAAGTCCTTGAGAATGTTCCTTCCTAAACTTTTCCCCCCAGTAATGCAAGCGGGTAAAATGGTAAATGCAGCAGTTTGGTGACATCCAAAACCCACCTGTTGTCAGGTAAATTGGCTCTTTTCTGCTCTTATGTAACCTTCGTAAGTTTAACTTGTCTGCCTTCCTTTCATTCCATCAGTTCGTTTTGGTGAAACTTCTTGAATGATTTCTTTAACAGTGATATTTAGAGAGAATTCTACATTTCTTCTTAATTTCCCGTCCTTAAACATGCTGATCTTTAAGAAAACTGTCATTGTCCTTTGCTTTACTCAGGTGAAACAAAAGTGAGTCCCCTCATATAAGTAAGTATATGTGCAGGATGGTTTTGTAATATGTTCATTCCACCTCCTCTTTATTAATTCCAGGGTAGTTTGCCTCCAAGTGTACTATTTTAGCTTAGGTTTTTGAAATATGGGATGCTTTCCATTTGGCAAGTGAATGTAAAATACAAGTGCATCAAATAGGAGTTGATAGGTGTGAAGAAATAGTACTAAGAACATTTACTCCATTAAAATTAAACAGAGCAGGAACCTATGAGGAGGACAGATGGGAGAACATGTGTGCCAAAGAAAGATGGTGGGGCTGATTATTTCTCTTTGTGTAGGATGGGGTGACACATTCTGTGTTGCCCTTACTACTCTATCCAAGTACTTGTACATTTTATCCTATTCTGGCAACTTGTTCCCTTAATCTGAAATTACTTAAAAGTGCTGGGAACTTAATACTTTTTTACTTGGTTTAAGGAGGAGAATCTATATTTTACTCAGAGGTAAATATCAGACAGTTGGAATACCAACTGGAAGAATATGAGCCTGTATTCAGGCTTCCAAGTTTCCTGATGCAGTGTTTTATTTCCCATGACATCTGTAAAGAATTAGCACTTGTTTCAGATTTTTTTTGTCTGTGTATATTAAGAAATCTTCTATATCATAATAGTCTGCTTTTCATATTCTCAATTTATATTATCCTGAAACACATCAAGGTTTATCAGCAATACCATAAATTGCAGCTTCAAATTAAAGTGGGAGGAAATAAATTTAGAGCCAAATTTTGCTCTCAGTTACACTGAGATAGTCCTGGAATTGAATTGCTCTGGGAAAGCAATTCCCAGGAGTGCTATCCAATTGCACTGGTATAATTGGGTGTATAATTTGTGTCTTTAATTTTACTTGTGAGATGATTTTACAGACCTGTTTTACTTATGTTTCCAATGCTTTTTCCTTTCAGACACACCCACTTCTTGCGTCTCAGCACTGGGCAGGCCTATTCCTTTATTTGTGTATATTTTTGTGCAACAGCTGCTATAGGACACGGGTGTAACACTTTCAGGCATGTGTTGGGTGTCTTTGGGGAAGAGATTTGTGGGTTTGTAACAATGCCTAAAAAAAGAGAATTTCTTTTCCTCAGATTTGTGAACAAATTGATGTTAGCTCACAGTTTTGCATCTCTTAACCTGATTTCATATATGTTATGTGAAGGTTTGTTCTTGTAAGAAAGACAGTGCTAGTTCTTTGCAGTGTCTTCACATACTCTTTGGTGGGGAGAGTTGATAAAAATTTCATTCTGCAGAAGTTACTAACTTAATATTTAATGTTGGTTGAAAGGTAGTTTTACAGATCATACTCTTTCCTCTTTACGTAGTGGCTTTCAGAGCCTTATGTTGATCTTGGTTGTGCCCAGTGCTTTGCCTAGTGTATGGGGGAAATGTTGCAGAACTTGAATAAGCCATGACGTCTTAGATGGTGTAGATGATAATTATGTGCATGCTGAACAAGAACTTCTTCTATATGCCCTTCTGCTGCAACAGAGTAATAAAACTGGTAGGTGGCAGCAGCAGCAGAAGAAACTCATGTGACTGACCTGAGAAACCTCCAGTACTGGGAGAAATGGATTGCAAAATGCTAACTCAAGTAAGGGGGACGGAAGAGAAAGGCAGAGTCCCTGAACCGCCACTTTGAATGGTGAGTCTGATTTCAAGAATTATCATGATCAAAAGACTAGCTGTAGTACAGTACACATGTTAATCTGTCTGAGTTGGTGTTTGGTTACCTGAGGTCCTAATTCTGATCTTTGATTCAACTTTCCGGTTTCCCTACTGCCTCTATAAGGCACAGTATATGCCTTGAAAAAATAAGTTTCACAAAAATGGCCACATTTAAAGGAGTACGGGAAAATAAGGCTGGAAGGAATTTATCTAGTCCATCCATTTCTCTGTCTCACAGGAAGATCAGTCATAGTTACGCCATCAGTCACATGCTTGTTTTAACATTATTTAAAAACCAGGGAATATGTGGAAAGATTATGAAGTCCTTACCTATGGAATTTCTTTTTATGAGGAAGATTGTGAAGTCTTTACCTATGGAATGTCGTTTTATGTAGCTAAAAAGCATCCTTACTGTCAGCCAGTGGTCAGCCTCATAGGCTGAGAGGCCATCTGCTTTTTTTGCTACTTTCTTTTTTGCCTCTCTGCTATGTAATGCTACTTTTTGGGTGATGCTTTTATATAATTCTCATATTGAGTATTTCACCACACTGCTACTTAGTGATAACTTAAATTGCATGTCTGTATATGTAAATTTACGTTTCACGTCAAAAGTTGGTTCCTTCAGATCTAAAGCCTTGTACCCCATTGACTGTGAAGAACTTCTGTCCTGGTATTGTCAGCATGTATTATTTTTGTGCAAGGAGCATAGTTTACAAATGCATGTAATAAGCATTTGTAAGCATAATAAGCAAGCAGCTGCATGGTGTAACAACAGTTTAAGAACTGAGTATTTTTATGTGATACATGGTGGTTACTTTAGGTTTAGAGACAACCACAGGGGATTCACCTATAACACATAAATAGGTTTTGCATCAGGTCTAACTTGTATCCTTAAATCACTGTTTTTGTTGGGTAGGGATCAAGTAACCTACGCCAGTAAGCCTAAATCAGTTTTTCAAAATTCTGTTACGAAGTTTCCTATATATAAAAAGCCTCTTTGAGGAGACTTTTCCCCCCTGTTTTTTTAATTGGTTAGTTTAACTAGTCATACCAGTAAATCTGAACTGGTAAGTACAGGAGGTAAATTGATTCTTAGGTTTGCACCAGTCATTAGCTCATTACAATATAATGACAATGATTTAAGGACTTAGTCATTGAGATGCTCAAATATCTTTGCAGAAAATTTAAGAAAAAATTGTTTCCACATAATATCTAGAGATTTTTATGTAATGAGAAAATCAGATACTGACATAGAAACAAAGTGCAGAATTTTCTCAGACAACAAAATGCTGTCACTTCCAACCTGAAAATGTTAAGTGAAAGCTCTAAACCAGGAAAAGCCAAACACCAGATTAGTTACTCTCTCCTGTGAATCTTATGTGGATATTAATTACTGTATAATGGTATTTATAGAGCACCATATAGGTTAAATCATAAATGGCTTAGAAACACCATGATAGTAAAGGACAGTGTTCTCCATAGCGGCATGATTTAGTGGTGGATTTGGCAGTGCTGGGGTAATGCTTGGACTTGATGATCTTAGAGGTCTTTTCCAAGCGAGCTGATTCTATGATTTATGTATCTCAAGACGGAAAAAATGCTCAAAGCACCAACAGTTACAATTCTCTTTTGAAAGTGGGAAATGTAAATTCTATAATGTTTCTGAGTTAGTATTAACCACCTCTTCAGTTATCTAGACCAGTTGTCTCTAAAAGATCTGTATCAGTAAAAAGCATTTGAAGCGTGCACCCTGATACATGTCTATTTATAAGCTATATGCATGTACTACTGTGTACATTATAAAATATACACAAGCCCAGAAATCAAAGCAGGATGAGGTAAAGATGATATGAATACTATTTAAACATTTACTTTGTTGTATTTGGCGCAAAATATATTTTCTTCTTGCAGCCTCATGTATTGTCTTGCATCCTGCCCCAGGGAAAAGTGCCCTCTACTTTTGAGACCACTGAGCTAGACCTCATCAAAGAATTAGTAATCACATTGAAGTCAGGAATGACTCCTAGGTATGGGAACTAAGCTGGATCTGAGTTACTGATATCCAGGCAACTAGTCTCCAGTGCACATCAGATATCACTGAAGACTATGAACAGCTGGTGTACTTTACTCAATAGCTTCTCACTTCTCATACAGCCTTCAAAAGTATGTGAAACACAGGCTGGAAATCCCAGAGCTGAGTTCCTGCAAAGTGAATGGAATTGAATGTGCAAAATGAAAAAAAGTATTTTGGATGGAGATTTGAAAGGAATCTTGTTAAATATAATGATGAGCAAAGTCTATGTGTGAGATGAAGCTCATAGAGAAAGTTTTTTAAATCAGTCAGACTGGAGATGTGTGAGAAAGTGAATTCTGGTGGTAGAGGCAAGGGAGTCTGAAGCATATGTTGGTCTGTCAGGAGACATGAAGATGAGGCAATAAACTAGCTTTTGCTGATCTTGAGTGTTCCCAGCTTTTTGTTGCAAGGAGGAATCTCACCAGACTTTCTGTACCTAATATGTGCTAGGCATGCTAGGCTTTGGGGACTGGTTATCAAGAAGGAGATCTAAAAGCTGATACAGAACTCTTGATCTGGAAACTAACCATAGCACTTGCTGGAATAGAATGGTTGTTCATGTGGATTAAAAATGTTACTGCACTGAATTTAGATGACAGCAATACTTGGGAAGAAGGGTGGTCATCTGGCCCTGAACATGGGTTTGTTTGTCCAGATATACCTGTAGCTTTTGCTTCTCAGCATAGTAAAGAATAGAGCTATAAAAAGATATGCAAGCCTTTTTAATGAGCAAGGGGACCATTTTAATGACTTAGTCATCTGTTAAGAAAAGATATTTTGGCTGTACAACAAGCAGGAATTTATAGTACTGTCCCAGATCCTCCATGTTTCCACATGGCTGTCAATACAAAAGGGTATTTTATTTCCTAATAGATGTGACATAGCAAAGCATCCTGTTTTCTTCTGTGGCAGAGATTTGAAGAAAGCAGAATATTTTTCATTCTTGCCATAGCCTTTTACAGGCAGGCAAGGGGTATTATGTATGTGAAAGGAGGAATGGATAGGTTCCTCATGCCATCTGAAAAGGGAGTTATGGGTTAGGCTGCTAGAAAAGTTAACATTCACACTGTACTTAGGCAAGGCATCTTCACGGAATTTCTGCATCCCCTTTTTGTTCCATGGAGAAACACTGCAAGTGTTACTAGAATATACAGAGTCTGCATAGTGGTATGTCAGTGTATTAGAGCTCTGCCAAGTGTGTGTGGGGGAAGGGCTCATAAAAGATTTATGTGAATTTCTGTATGCTTTTTTTATTTGGAGGCAGTTTGCCATGTGCAACTGCAGATAGTGCTCATTTTTAGTGTAATAGAGGGGTTCTTTTGTTTGGAAGGAGGAAAATGTGTTTGGGGAGTTAAATACGTCGTTCTGTTGTCCATTTCTGTAAGGAAGCAGAATGGTTAAGGGAAAGCAGTCAAAATGAGTAAGAACTACACAGCTAGTTGTAGTCTGGTGTCAGTTGAATACTCATTGATGTTGCTGAGGAGAAGGCTTTTTGGTCTGTCTTACAGTTAAAGGAGACACTGAGACAGCCAAGAAGGGACTTTGAAAGTGTTTCAGACAGTGAATTGTGTCTTTTGTTGCCTTTTCTTTTGCTTTCAGAACTCTTTGATGTGCTTCTGTAGATGTATCTTATTAAAAAAGTGTAGGCTGCTGAAATGTCTCTGGTGCGTAGGGCTGAGGTTGGTCGAACAAGGGTGTGGAATGCTCTTTAACCAAGAGTAATCAGCTGTGCTGATCTTGGCCTTGATCAGATGAGGACAGAGAGTTGCAGTCTAGCACAGGTTTTGCTGGACTGCATTTATTGCAATATATGCAGTAGTAGCAGAAGCCTTTGTCAGTAGTAACCTGTATAGCTGTCACTAGAAAGTGCAGTTGCTTTTGATCAGTGATGAATATTTAAATTTCCCTTACCATGTAATGCTTTTCATTTTCCTGACTACAGCTATTCTGTTACGTTAATCTGTGGTTTATTGTAGTATATTTACAGTTTTCCATATCAGGACTGAATTTCTGTCTTAGAGAAATTGCACTGTAATTGAGGTGTGGAGAGGAAACGAAGTTTTATTAGAGGTCAGTTGATGACAATACCTTATTAGAAAAAATTAATCAGAAAAAACTAATTTGTCACATTCATAATTTTTCAAGGACATATGTTAATATCTAGAATTTAGTGGGATGTACCTCTTGTACAAAATAGCATTTGTTTCTAGAGAGGGAGGAAAAAAATCTGTATTATATTATCTAATAACTCAGTTGTTGCTATCTCTTTGGCCAGTTACACATTTTTTCTAAGCAGATTTCCTGTTTATTGTGGAAGCAGTGATACTACTGACCTCTCTTGATGCTTAGTTTATCTGTGTCATAAAATACTTTAATTCTGGGGGGAAAGGAACTGGAGAGATATGGAGGAAAATTGTATACAGTGCTATGTGGACTAAACAGGAAGGTGCTGCGAAGCAGAGAGAGAAGACAAAGCAGTAGCTGTATACACAGGTATCTTACAGTTCTGTCTTATCAGTCTAATGGGAGGCCAGGAGTCAGAGTGGCTGTTAGACCATGATGAGAAATGGGGATGCCACATTGACTGTTTGTGCAACTGCAAATAATTCATATCTTGTGTTTACAAGAAGTATGGTTATCCCAAGGGCATGTGTGTAGTTTCTTTTCCTCACTACTACTCTGCAAAGCACCATCTGCTAGTGTTTATTCTCTGGATTCTGTCTGTTCAATGGTATTGTGTATTAAGACTAAAAATTGTATAGTGTTTTGTGAGTGTCAGAAGGAAACTTGGTATGCTTCTCATTTATATGTTTTCTGATCCACCTAACAAACACAAGGCCAACTGAAACAACACAAATGTTACGGTTATTCTCCCCTTCCGTCTTTACAACAGCATAAGGGAGGAGTAATGCAAATGTAATGTGATTTCGGCTTGTCCATGCCCAAATGGAAATGTTTGTTTACCGGATGGCAAATACTGAAGTTTTACCAGTGAGAGGATTAGGCAGAAGGAGACTGCAGTTTGACTTTGCTAAACTTTACACAATTTTTCCTCCACATGAAATATTTCCACAGGAATTTAATGCTTGAGGAAGAGGCTGGACCAACAGTTGCAGAGATTGAACTCCTCTACCCACAGGAAAGGTAACAGGAACTAGATTTTATCTTCAGAACAGTCTTCACTTCATCTCTCACTCTTTGACCTGGAAAGGCCTTTTCCAAAGTCAGGAGTTTGATACTCATGGCTCAGTCCTTGGTGCATGTGTAATGTTATCCAGGAAACTAGATAGGTGCCAGTTACAGAGATCTTTTCCTAATGATGTCTGCTAGAATTTCTGATATTAGTATTTTGTGAAAAAAAGACTAACTTCTTCAATGATTTGTTTCTCTAGGTTTTTCTACACCACAGGAGGTCTTCTCTTCTCTTGTACGGGGACACTTGCCTCTTGATATAACACCCCCTTCACAATGAAGTGAAGAAAGGATAGACCAGTGGTAATGTCGAATGGGGTGATGTCCACACTTGGGGTTAACAGTTGTAATAAACACTGTCCTGCTAACATGGAGAAATGAATAAAACAATTTAATTCTTAATTCTTGAGAGTGTGAGGTTCATTTTGGTGTCTTCTGTGCCAATTCCCCTTTCTTCTGTGCCATTTCCCCTTTCTTGAAGTGCTGGTTAACTTCAGAAATCTATTGATCTTGTATCAAAGCTGGAGCTAAGCCAGAAAAGTAAAACCTGTTGAATATTCTTTATCATATTAGGCTTCCCCCCCCCCCATTCCTAGGAGTTCTAAAATGCTTTCTATTGACATGAATAATTTTCCCAGATGCCTTAGAACATCAACATCAGGCCTTCGGTTTTACCAGTTATGAGTTCACCTAACTCATTGAAAGCAAGTCTCCTGAGTTGTGAAAAAAAAGGAAAATCATACTATACTGATCATGCCATACTGATAGCTTTGGAAATTGCTAGAGAGAAACAGAACTGCAGTTCTCAGCATATTGGAGATTCATTAAACTAAACAGTGGTGAGGCACTGACACAGGTTGCCCAAAGAAGTGGTGGTCAAGGCCAGGCTGGACAGAGTCTTGGGTGACATGGTTTAGTGTTAGGGGTCCCTGCCCATGGCAGGAGGGTTGGAACTAGATGATCTTAAGGTCCTTTCCAGACCTAACTGTTCTATGATTCTGTAATGTGCTTTTGGATTTTGAGGCCACAGTGGCAGGGTTTGTTACAGACATGGTCATGTAAATTCTTACTGTATGTTGTTTCTGAAAGAAAGCTCATGTTTAAAACCATAGGTTATGGATCTTTTGCATATCTCTTGGTTTGTTGTTAGTTGAAACACCATAAAGGGTTAAGACATGCACTGATGTGCTTTCTTGAAATTTGCGTTACAAAAAGCAAAAAGGGAAGCAAGATACTGAGTTGGTATGTTATCAGTAAACCCCTCTTATTCTTAACAAGGTAGAATGTTCAGTTTCTTTGTAGTTTTTTCTTTCTGTCGTTGAAATCCTGGCTAAATCTTTCAGAGAGCTGTGATAATGTGTGTTATAAAGACAAAGAATTGGTGAAATTGAAGTGGAAAATGGAGAGTCAATTGTAAAACCTTAAGCTACTTGGTAACTGCAAGAGGGGAGCATAAGGAGATAGAAGGGTATTATGCCCTTGGACTTTCAATCTTGACATATTTTAAAGTTAAGTTTTATGATACCAGGGTGAAAGCACAGTTTGCGTAAAAACAGTATAACACACTTTGTGCAGAAGTGCCCTTGGATAGAAGAAGAATGTAGGAATTGGTTTCAAGGTGCTCTTTAGACCAAGATTTTAGAAAGAGTAAGGCAATTGTTTTATTTTTATAAGCACTTAAATGACTATCATTGACATGATGACTGAACCACCAGTGTATTGTATCAATGGGAAAGATAAGCAATTTAGTAGTCTAATATTTCTTGAGAGGTGTCAAAAAGGGAGAGAGAGATTGTGCAAGGTGGAGGAGCTGAGACATCGCCTATCAAGCTGTAAGCAGTTCCGATGGCTCAGATATGAAATGGAATTCCTCACACAGAGGCATGTCTTCTAGAGTAATAGGTTCTCCATTCTCTAATACCACCATGGACAGTACAGGAACTTGTTCTCTGAACCCTGTTGAAAAGTGAGGGCTGCAACTGATGAAGATTCCATATGGTGGTACGGATATTTTTGTTCCTGTTTTCTGTGTGCTTGTGTAGTTCTTTTACGTGTCAGTGGAAACTGGCTCCAATAGCAGCACTTCGTTTTGCGAATATGTTGCCAGACCATGTCTCTGGTAGCACTGTGAGATCTGCCTCTGCAGTTTTGTGGCCATTTTGTCTCTTGTGGTTCAGTACTTACGGGTATACTTAATGCATATGCTTATGCTTGCACAAGTGCTTTTCTGTCACTTTCCTTAATATTTAATGTTTAAATTTAATTACTATCCTTAATATTTCCTTAATATTTAATGTTAATATATCTCCTTAATGTTTAATAAAGTAGAATGGCTGAGAACCTTCTAAAAGGCTTCTTAGTTTTTTATAACCAATCTTGCTAAGCTAGTTCTTGTCCCCCCCTTATGTTTTATGTTGTCTTTTATGGGTATTCAGCAATGTGGTCCCTGTTCTACTGCCTGAAGTTCACAGATTTGCTCCTCCTGCCTTCATAGTCCAGAATGCCTTCCACCCTCCCTTTTTTTATCCCTTTCCAAATGCTCCTGCCTGCTTGTCATAGAAAAAAACCTGCTGTTGTTTCTGCTCTTAACCACTGCTCATGCTTGTTCTTGTCCTTATCCCAGGCACACATATAGTAGCTTAAGAGTATTTCAGTGTCTGTTATAGGTAATTGTTCTTTGATGTTTGTGTGTATTACTCTAAAGGTGTGACTTGCTTTCTTAGGGGGAGAAAGACAGATTTTGTTACTATATGGTTTCTTTTTGTATTTCACAGCCCAAAACATGTAAAACTTAAACAGAAATTAAAAGAAGTCAATGAAAATAGAGGTATCTGGTTTTTTACTGTACTGTCTCAGTGAGTGAGACTCAGCAAACTGCAGTACTGAGGAGATCAGTAGGTCCCTGCTGTTGCACTCACAGAGCTATCTTTGAGGAAGGGATTGGTCTGCTTGAAATTTTTTTCTCATGTACCTCACTTAAAAGCTCCAATTCAAGAGCTGTGGTCAAGAAGGTATTAGTAACATTCCTTTTTCTTTGCTACTTTAAATTTTGTCATTTGAATGCGATTACCAAGTACAAATAATTAAATAGTAATTGGATATTCATCATGAAATACTTTGATCTTCTTATTTGTACAGTACCGTGAAGACAGAACTAAAGGTCTGTAGTGATAAATCCGACCTGTGCTGTGATGGCTGGGGAAGCCTGATATAAATAGTTCTTTCTGCATTTCTGCATTTTTCTCTCAGAGTTGTGCTTTTGTGCTGGCTACAGAACTAGAGCACTTAGCACACTGCTTTGCTTAGTATAATGAGGTATTGGGGTGGAGTATATTTGTACTAAGGCCAAATTGAGAGAGAGGTTGTAATTTTGCTTAGTATAAGATCTGGAAAACCTCTGCAACTTGCCTGGCCTGCATTCCCAGTTGTGCATGAAGTAAGCAGACAGCTGGGTTTTGACCACTATCTTTGGTATTTTTCTGGGTTGCTTTCCTTATTTTTTACCTTACCACCTTGGTTGCTTCTCCAGCCTGCTCTTTCTCTGGCTGAAAACATGGTTTATCACTGTACATTTACCTCTAGGTGGTCTGCAAAATCTAGGCATCTGATTGGAACTAGACATCACATCACCTTCTCTGTGACTCTTTCATCTTATGTTGTCATCACTTCAGCATTTTTCCAGCATGTTAATTTGGAGGGCTTCCTCTGCTGAGATGGTAACGTTGAGAAGGGAGAGCATGCAGCGCAGTGACAAAGTCACCTCAAAAGCCGTAAGGATGGAATCCATGGGAGAAAGACTGTGTCCCTCTGTGCTTCTCCTCTCCCTCCCCCCCCCCCCATAATTTAGCTGCTGCTGCACAGGCTAATAAGCAAAGCACTAGT